ATTGAATGCCTATTGTGCATCAGGGACTCTACAATGCACACTTACCACCCGCTTTAGACCTCAAACAAACCTAGAAGCAAGTACTATTAGCTGTATCTTACAGATGAAGAAAAGTAATCTCAGACAGGTTTAAAACTTTGTTTAAGATCATGCAATGAGGTGGCACCTGGGTGGCTCAGTTGGTTAAGTGACTGCCTCCAGCTCAGGTCATAATCTCATGATCTTGGAGTTCCCGTATCCAGTCCCACATAGGGCTCCCAGCTCCGTAGGGAATCTGCTTCTCCCTCTGACCTTCTCCCTTTTCATGCTCTCTCTCACTCTCTCAAATAAATAAAATCTTTTTTTAAAAAAAGATCTAAATCTAGATTTTTGTGGGTTTGATTCATTGCCCATGCTTATCCACTGCCAAACATAATGCTGCCTCCCAACTCAGGTACAGTTTTGACACCTTAAGCAGACTGAGGGCAAGAGTAAAGAATTTTCCCTACACATTACTAAAGACATGTCTATCTTTATTTCTTATCAGAATTTCTGAGTTATTACAATCCCAGCCTAACCTTAAAAAAAAAAAAAAAAGTGGCATTTTAGTGACTTGTTCAGTCTTACATTGTGTAATTTCCACTGGGATTTCTGAAACATGAAAAACAGATCTGGGACTCGGTTACTAATTTGGGGGGGTCCCAGGATGGGAACCAGACCGGTTACTGTCCCTCAACAGTGGAGACTAAGTCATAGGCTAAAAGGTGTCAGGAGGCAAAGGCTGACTTGGCGCGAAAGAGAACAAAGTTCTGTAGCTCCCCTCCCCTGAAGGTGCCCCTTCACCTCCCGAGGACCCATCTTTCACGTGAGAACTCTCCTTTTCTCATGGAACTTTCACTATCCTTAAGGAAGCCCCATCTCACGAAACCGCCCAAGGAACTCTCCAACTCTTAGGGAACCCTCATCTCCACACGGAACCCTCCTTCTCCCCATAGAACCCCCATATACTCCCGGAACTCCTTTTCCATCTCCACTCCCCATCTCTTCACGGACGCTTCAACCTCCCAAGAGAAACCCCAACTCCGCCAAGGAACCCCGATCTCCTCACGAAATCCTCGTTCCCCACGCCACGCGCACAATTTCTCACTCATCTGGAAACCCCCACTTCTCTGCTCGCTGACCCCGCCCAGGGCCTCCCGGGCCCGGCCTCACCTCGCGGTTGCTCCACTGAGCGCCGGTGCAGCTCGCGGTAGCGTTGCAGCGACCGGACGTGCGCGGAACGGCTGACCTCGGGCGGCGGGGACCAACTCCGCACCCGGTTCCGGGCTCCAGCCTCCTCTCGCTCCGCGCTCCCGCTGCCGCAACGGCCCCGCTCCTCCGGAAGCCCCATCGCGTCAAGTTCCGAGCGCCTGAGCAGCCTTCACTGTTGCTCCTGTCGCCCAGGCGGGGAAAACAGGCGGACCGAGGGGCGGGGCCTTACGGGAGGAGGAGAGACTGGGTTGGAGGAGGCGTGGCGCAGGCAAACGGGCGGAGAACAGCCCGGAGGGGCGGAGCCACGCCCGATGGAGGCGGGACCAGGGTTAGCAAAGGCAGAGGGAAAAGTCGAGTGTTGCCGGAGGCTTGGGGGCGGAGCTGACAGCGGAAGGGGTGGGCCCGCAGAGTGAGAGCAGAAGGGGCGGGGCCGGGTGTGATAAGAAGGGGTGGAATCTTGGAGGGGAAGGGCCAGGCGTGACAGTTGAGGAGGTGGCCCCTCTTCTGTCCCGGAGCGACTGGGAGTGACGAGGTTGGATACGACAGAAGAGGAGGATGATCGAAGTGACTGTGGTCGGGTGGGGTCTTGGAATGACAGATGAGAAGTTGGGTTAGGGCGGGGCTCGAACGGGAAAGAACTGGGCAACCGAGAGGAGTTGGATCAGGCCCATAATGGAGCCGCCCCGTGATCTGATTGCACAAGCCTGTCACCCCACCGAGTTGGAAAGCTAGGTGGAGTAGGGTCCTTTGTGGATGACACACTTCCCCTCAGCACTATTCCCCAGTTCTGAGTAAACCCCTCCCTTCTGTCCCCAGGAAAAACTCCTCCCACGACGCTGAGGGCGGCCTGGGGACGGGATGCCCTCCCTGCTAACCTTGGGACCAGCTGAGATTTTCTCCCACCCCTGAAGATATGTCTTCACTCTCCCTACCTCCACAAATTTCCATCCAGATCTAAAGTACAAGACTGAAGTGAAGACTAGGAGGTGATCCAGGTCTTTGTTAATAAACCCACCTCCTCATTACACAAATGGTAAACTCAGGAAAAGGAAACAATCTGTGCAAGGTCACAGAGCAAACAACCAGGTTAGGGCCAAACCTATGTCTCCTGACTCCCCCTCCTCATCAGGCTGAAGGTAACATCTGTAAAATACTAAAGTCTATGCAAAATAGGAAAAATTGCTCACACCCTTCTTTCCCTCTCAATCTCTTGATTTCCTCTCACCTGCCACAACCAGGTTCAATTACTCTGGCTTCCCTCCAACTCTTCCACTCCAGAAAGGAGAGGCCAGGAAGGACCCTCTATCTCCCCTTAAACTCACTACCAAGAAGATCGCCTTCATCAGTTCACAGAATAGATTATCAAAGCAGGAAATCTCCTTAGATAAACTCCAGGGGTGATTCTGAGGATCAGAGCAGGCAATCCCCACCTTCTGAAACCTACTCAGGGCTTGTGACCCCATCTGGCCCAGACTTTCTTCCCACCTTCTCTCTTGCTCTTTGTCCTGCTAACCACAAGCCCAGCACACCCTAAACCGAAAACAAAAACAAAAACAAAACACCTCTCCTGGGTCAGATATATTATCCAGAGCCTCCCCAATTCTGAAAGGAGAGTCTCAGGGCTCCAAAGAAGTCCAGACCTCATGGACTGGGCAGATATTTCATTGAGAAGGCATTAACCGCACTGAAGGCACACACACTATACTGAAGGCATTCCATTAAGGGAGCGCAGATCTTGCTGAGGGATCTCAGATTTCAGTGAAGACCTCTGGACCCTGCTAATAGGACATAAAAATGACATTGAAGTTCTGTGATTCTACTGAGGGGACATGGACTTCCTCCTAGGAATTACAGAAAATATAGACTTTACTAAAGAGACATGGACCCCACTGAGAGAACGCAAACCACCAAGGGGCCTTTCACTACACTGAGGAAATGGACACCACTGAAGGAGCACTGACCTCACTTAGTGGAGACAGCCCCATGCGTGTGCGTGGGAGGGGGTCAGACTTCACTGAAGCATAACAAGCCTTACAGACTTCACTGAGGAGACAGGAACCTCTCTGTAGGGAGGAAGGCACAGGCAATGGACACACAGTCCTAGTATAGACAGTCATTCTCTTCCGCTTCCTCCCCTCCTCAGGCCCCAGCTCTGGGCAGCCCTCTCCTATTCTCCCCGCTTCTCTCCCCAAGCCCTTCTTCTTCTAAGTACTAAAGCTGTTCTCAATACACTGCTGCCTCCTACTGTCTACAGGTGGCATTGCAGCTGCTGGGCCCATAGTAGATTTTCAAACAGTCCTGGTTATTACCTCTGAGCCTAGCTCCTGGGTTTGGAGAAGGAGAGGATGTGTGCCCAGGGGCTTGATCAGACCCCTCCCTCTGCCTGTGCACTGTGCAAAGAAATTTGGGCAAGAGGCCTCACAAGAGAGGGAGCCCCCCCATCCTTAGAGATGGGGTAGTAATGCAAACTATCGTGTAGCTGGAATTTCTCAGGGTGGGAAGAGAACGGATTGTGTTGGAGGAAATGAGAACTCACTAGATTAAGGAAATAATAATGATAATGATAATAATAATAATAATGGCATTTATTAAGTAGGTGCCACATACTATACTAAGCACTTTCCAACATTTTATTTAATCTTTGCAACTATCTGAAATGAATACTATTATTTTCTCATTTTACAGATGAGGAAACTGATACTCAAGGAGATTAAATGTCTTGCCTAATATCGCTCCGTTCATAAGTGGTAGAAGAGTGACTGGAACCCAGACACCTAGACTACAGAGACCCAATCTTCTCCCATTTTATCACCCCCCCCACACACACACACACTCCACCCCACTCCTGCCATACCTCAACACCGTTATTTCTCCAAGTGTCCTTTCCGGAACCACATCTAAACCTCTTAAAATGATGGTAAATATCCAGATTCCAGAAGCTTCATCCCAGCCTACAAATCATGATCTCTAGGGTGGAATCTGGGGATCTGATTTTAAAGATTCTAACACAAACTCAAGTTTGGACTCACCGTCCTATGCTGATAGGTCAGGGGTCCCAAAAGGGATTGACTGAAAGAGGAATCTGAGAAGTGCTGGAGGTCGGGGGATAGATCTGATGTCTGAGGAGAGACACCCTAGGAGGTATCTCTAAGTGAAGAAGCAGTGTGGGGATGAAGCAGGGGTGGGGCTGAGTTTGCGCGGGAAGGCGGGGTCTCTTGAAAGAGGAGTCTGGGGTCGGAGGAGGAGTCTGAGATCAGAGTAGGATCTAGGAGTCCAAAGAGGGATCTGGGGTCCAAGGCCAAGTTTGTGGTCCGAGTTTGGGATCAAAGACAAGATCAAGGGTCGAGGCCAGATCTGCGTTCAGTGGAAGGATCTGGGGGTTGAGGAGAGAGTCTGGGGTCTGAGGCGGATTCTAGCTCAATCTGGAAGGAGGAAGGGGTTTGGCCCCCGGGCTGCATTAAAGTGTCCCAAGCCACTAAGGTCGCGCTTGCAGCGCTCTTCTCCATCCCTCCCCCACAGCCTCCGCGCTTTCTCCAGGACCCGCCGCCCTTCAGGTTCTCGGTCCACACGGCACTCCGCCCACCTGCCGGTGCACTGCAGGCTGACAGCGCTGCACGGAGGGGTGTTTAAGCAGAGCCGGACGCCAGCGGGGGATGTGGTGAGGCGCCCCCTCCTGGCAACCCAAGAGCTCAGGCCCCGCCCTCCACCCGCCCCCGCCCCCGCCGGACCACTTCCGGCAGGCGCTGCGTTGCTGGGGGGCGCGGGCGAGGATGGCGGCGGAGAACGAGGCCAGTCAGGAGAGCGCCCTGGGCGCCTACTCGCCGGTGGACTACATGAGCATCACCAGCTTCCCGAGGCTGCCGGAGGACGAGCCCGCGCCCGCGGCCCCTCTGAGGGGCCGCAAGGACGAGGACGCCTTCCTGGGAGACCCCGATACCGGTGAGGCCCGCTGGCCCCGTCCCTGCCCCCTGGGACGTCCCCGGTCCTCCTCCATCTACGCGGAGCATCACCTCCAGCTTCCATCTCCCTAATTCATCCCCTTCCTCCTGGACCTCTCCCTCCTCCCTTGTCTCCGTTAGTTATCTAGTGGGGATGAAGATGCATTTCTGCCTTGGAGGCTTAGGATGCGACAAGGGTGAATGATGCCAGGAACTGCAGCAGCAGGGTTTGGGGTTGCCTCTGGGGAAGAACCAACTAATACGGAAGGAAGGTTGGAGGGGAGATGCTAAGGAACAGCTGTGATCACCCAGAAGAGGCCGTCCCTTAGTCACAAAGAACAGGGTAGGAGAAATCAAGTCAGACTGCAGCAGGATGGGTAAGGTAGGTCTTGAGAAGAACTTCCCCACAGCCAAGGGTTGTGGGAAGGAGAGACCTTAGCTAAGAATCTCTTCACATCCCAGGAGGGGTAAGGAAAATATGATTTACACCTCTCTGTAAGCGGTGGATATTGGGAGACAAGGGGATGGACTGCATGACCTCTCAGAGTCCTTGGGGACCAGAGTGCCTTCCTTGCCCTGTGGATTACCTCACCCCTCCTGGAGCCATGGATCAGGCCAGGGTGTTAGTAAGGTACCCTGCCCCCTACGAAGTAGGCTCTAGAATTTTGCTGTGTTCTCAGCCTTTGAAGGGACTGCAAAGGGTGGGAGTAGGGAGGGGGCCACAGGGCTTGGGGCAGACCTAAGGGCCAAGAGCTCTCTGAGCATTTCTTCCCTTAGGGCTCTCCCTCCTATCCATGTGCCCCAGCTCTATCCTCTTCTCCATTTTTCATGCTCCATCCCCCATCCCTCTTTCCCTCAACGTCACTTCCTGGCATTAGAGCATCCCTGTGCTTCACTCTTCCTCCCGGTGCCTACACTTGAGCCCTCTCCCTTACCAGCCTGGCAGATCGTGCTTCTCTGACCCAGCCTTCTCTAGCCTGGCCCTTCTGTAGCTATTCCCATCCTGACAGCCCCAAACTCTTTCCCCCTTCACAATTTTCCAGTCATCTGGCCCTTACTAGCAGCCCTTGCCAGCCTAACTAGACTGTAGCCTACCTGGAGGGAAGAGTAGGGAAGGCGGGGGAGGCTTATGGGTATCAGATATCCAAGCTGCAGGTCAAAACTTCTTTTCCAGAGAGAATAACCCTGGCATAGGGAAAGTAGTGGAAAGATGTGTCCTGGTGAATAACAGCCTGAAACCAGGACCTTTTTCCAGGGGTCAGGAATGCTACTTCTGGTTCCAGCACTGCCTTGACTCACTGTATGACAGTGGGCACATCTACCCTGACCTGGGCCTCAGGTTCCTCTTCCAGCTCTACTGGGAATGCCTATCTCTCCTAACCTGGAGATTGGAAGCCCCTGACATGTTTTCTCCTGGCTCCCTATAAATGACCTAGCAATTATCAAGTCTGTGATTATTTGAGCAATCAAGTGGTTACTCCATGTCTCTAAGTCCTATGAAGACAGGATTGTGACTGTTTTTCGCCATCCTTTCTCCAATGTCCAGCACAGTGCTAAGTGCTCAATAAAAATTGTTGAATAAATAAAGGCATGAAAGAGATCTCAGGATGAAAGAATAGCAGGGGAGGGAGTTCTCAAGCCTCAGGGAGTACCTTGGAGAATTACGACAGGTTCTGCTCTCATCTTTACAAAAATCCAGCAGAGACCCCTGTCGCCTGAGTTTCTGGGAATCTGCACCTTATGCCACGGTTGTGCACTAATGTTCCAAGGACCCTTACCATCGTATCTATGTAGTCATTTCAAAGCTATGTCTCAGACCACTACTTCTAAGCCCCAAGGTTCCTTTAACCAGCTGGACTAGCCTGTTGACTGACATGATCTCCTATGTTCTCAACCTGGAGGTACTACTTACTAATGCTGCCCTATCCTCTTACCCAGTACCTTGGTTGTGCCCAGCTAGCCTCTAGCCTGCCACTCCCCAGAACCAAATGCCAGCTACCCCACAGGAAACCCTCCGGAAAATGGTAACCACTTCAAAGTTGGGGAGATTCTTGACTCTCTTCTGAGCTCCAGGTCCATGAGTTCCTCTCTGTCCCAGGCATTGGCCTCTAGATGTCCTACAAGTGCCTCACCTTCAGGATGTACTATGCTGAATTCATCTCATCCCCAAACCTGCCCTTCCCCCAGTGTCATTCTCAGTTAATAACACTGCCATTCATCCAATCTCCAAGGTAGAAGCCCAGGAGCTATCCATGACTTCCTTCCTTCCTCTTACTTCCCAAAGTGATCAGATGCTCTCTGTCCTCCTAAGTATCTTGCAATCCATCTCATCATCCCTGCCATCACCACTGGAGACTAAGACCCCATCCTCTCTTACCTGTATTACCCATAGGCTTCTAGCTACTCCCTGCCCCCTCCCTGCCCCTCCCCACCAACCCCAATCTATCCACCACCCTGAACTTCTGATCATGTTATTCCTTGGTTCAAAAAAGTCTTTAATGATTCTGCCCTTAAGGGAATAAGCAAGCCAGGGATGACCTCAGTTTCCAAACAAGATCTCACTCCTTATCTCTAGAATTGCCAAGGCAACTCTGTTCAGGATTCTTCTGTCATAAACTCATTTAAAACTGACCTAATCATGGGGCGCCTGGGTGGCTCAGTGGGTTAAGCCGCTGCCTTCGGCTCAGGTCATGATCTCAGGGTCCTGGGATCGAGCCCCGCATCGGGCTCTCTGCTCGGCAAGGAGCCTGTTTCCTCCTCTCTCTCTGCCTGCTTGTGATCTCTGTCTGTCAAATAAATAAATTTAAAAAAAATTATTTAAAACTGACCTAATCTTAAAAGAGAATTTTATTGCGTAGCATAACTGAAAAATTCAGGGATGTGGGGCCTGAGGCATAGCTAGATCAAGGTACCTAAAAAGGAATTGGCTTTTGTCTTTTGCTTTGCCTTCCTTTTTATGGTCTTCATCTTCAGACCTTTCATTCTGTAGGAGCAAGATGCGCCCAGTAGCAGCAGGTTTACACCTTACCATTTTAATAATCTAAACAGAAAGAAAGCGTTTCTCTTTCCCATTAGTTCCAGCAATAGAACTAAGTTTGAGTGTCACAGACCTGGTGCTGATCACATACCTGTCGCTGAACCAGTGACTGTAGAGAGGTACCTGTTATGGGCTAGGCCTAGGTCATATACTCACTCTGGACAGGAATGAGTGAATAAGAAATGAGAGAGAGGAGATAGTGTTTTGAAATGGAAAATTGATTGGAAATGGCATCTAATCAAATAAAAATCAGATGCATACTAGGCCAGTTGCTTCCAGACAACTCCTATTGGTGTCCCACAAATTTAGAATTACCAAAATTAAACTCATCGTCTTTCTCCCAAAAGACTTGTTTCTTCTGATTCCAAACTCACCTTTTCCCAGTGTCCTGCTGTTGCTTTTACACATCAGTAAAATCAATGGTATTATTGCCCTAGTGCTTACACAGTAGAGTACTCAGTAAATATTTTTGTTGAATAAATGAATAACTTAATGATTGACTGATGGGATAAAAAGTCTTGAATAGGTTCAACTCTGATAGAGCCATATCACTTCCCCTCTTGGTCCCTCATGGCTGATTAGAGAAAACAGATTTAAGGACAAGTACCTGCAAGTATCAGGTAGAATTAGCTTGTAAGGTTGGTTTTTGAACGTGGAAATGACTCCTGATACCTTGTGGAGCAATGGAAGACAGGTTTTGAGTTACTTTTGCTTCTGCCATTTATTCATTTTATGACGTTAAATGGGCAAGATCACCTTTTCCAGCCTTAAATTTCCTCATCTGTAAAATGGAGAGAATAGGCCTATTTCAACAAGTTATGGGAGTGCTTCAATGAGGGGAATGTATGGAAAGTGCTTGGAATATAGTCACCATCAATAAATGTAAGTTCAAAGCCATTTTCTGCACTTCTTTTGAAACCTCTAGGGACCAAGGAGAATTCTTTGCCTGCAGTAGGTATTTAACATGTTTGTTGAATGAATTCCAGTTTTTTTATAGACTGTGTGGTGCTGAGGGGTAGAGGCAAGCATGATCAGCTGAGGGAGGCTTCCAGAAGACAAGTTTCTTTTTTTAAATAAAAATTTTAAAATAAATTACATGTTTATGGTTCAAAGGAAAAAAAAAGAGAGAGAGAGAGAATACAATGAGGAAAAGTAGAAGTCCTCTTCTCCATTCTTATCTGTGTGCAATTTTTCCTCTTTATTTAAAAATATGTGTGTTAATTTGGGAGCGCCTGGCTGGCTCAGTCTGTGTAGAGTACAACTCTTGATCTCAGGGTTGTGAGTTTGAGCCCCATGTTGGGTGTAGAGATTACTTAAAAAAAATAAAATAAAATGTTATATATGCATTGATTTTGAAAAAAAAAAGAAATATATATGTACTAAAATTTTCAAAGAAAAAATTCTCCTACCCCATCTCATTCCCACCTTCAGTATCTTTCCCCAAAAGTAACCACCGTAAATATTTTCTAAAAGTTCTCTATATATGTATGTGGCATATATGTATGTGGCTTCTTATTTACACAAAAGAGGGGAGTGTGGATTATAAAGGGCCTTGAATGCCAGGTCAAGGAGCTTGGATTTTTATAATGTTCATATTGATGAACCATGATAGTATTTCAAATAGGAAAATCTAATAGTCAGTTTTCAGCGTCATCCTACAGACTTTTTAAAGGGGTTATACTCCTAGTGTATAGTAGCAAGTGCTCAAAAAATATTTATTGAATGAATGGACTTTTTAAAACACATTGTACATACACAGCAAGGGTATTAAGGTCAAGGTACCAGACGATTTCTTTACTTTTCACAAATACACAGGACCTTTAGAGAACTGGTTTCAAGGCTAATATAACCCAGAGGAGGGAAACTATGGGAGGGAAGGAAGAGGGTCTCAGCCCTGGCCAAGGTGGAAAAGGAATGGAAATAACTAGAGGGTGCAGGTAGACATCGTCTCACGGAATCCTTACACCCATTTGGCCAGTTAGGGATTAGCTCCAGTATTAGGATGAGGAAAATGAGGCTCATGACTTGAAGTGACTCATTCATAGTCACCCAACAAGTAAGGGGCTTTGAGGTCTCCCCTGTCTCCACTCTTACTGTCCTTAGACTCATTCTTCAGAGAGCAGCCAGAGGGATCTTTTTAAAATACAAAACAGATGGCTTCTGGTTCTTGCTTAAAACTCTGAAATACCCTTCCATGGTTCCTAGGATTAAATCCAAGCTTCTCACAAGGCCCACAGGGCCCTGTGCACCTGGCCTAGCCTCCACCATACTATTCTTTCCTCTTGTTCACTACACCAGAGCCATCCAGGCCTCAGTTTTGTTTGTTTTTTTTCCTATTGCACCAAGCTTATGCCTACCTTAGGGCCCTTTGCACCTACTGCTCCTTCTTTCTGGAACACTCTACACACTCACTTCTTGGTCTACATATGGCTAGCTCCTCATCCCTTAGTTCTCAGCTTAAAAGTCACTTCCACTGAGAAGCCTTGCCAAATCCCTGCTAAGCAGCCCCCGACACACACCCATTATTTTCTATCGTTCCATCCTTCTTTTTCTTCATAGCACTTGCCGCAAGTTGTAATGATATACTCCTTTGTTTACGTGTTTCTTTTCTTCTACTGGTCTGTGAACCTCATGAGGGCAGAAACTGTCTATTCCTTTCTCCTAGGAGCTAGCATAGAGACAGACCCATAGCAGGCCCTCCATATTTGTTGAGTGAGTGAATGGACAAGCCAAGCAAGATCGGAAGCCAGGGTCTGTCCATTCAGTTTATGTAGCTACTTCCTTGACACAGCAGGCTGGGCCCCAGCTGGAGCAGGATCTGGTTTCTAGGGAGGGCCCAAACCCCCTCCATTCCAGGAAGTGTTTGTCCTAGGTCCTGAGTGGGTCTCAGGTCTCAGAAAGTTTGGCATAGGGGCCAGACATCCAGCCCCCTGCCTCGCAGCTGAGGGCTCCTGTCTCTACTCAGCCAGGACTTCCCCCAACCTGTTCTGGGGTACGTTGGGGAGACACCACAGGGTGAGCAGTACTGTCTAGGGGGGTTGGCTTAGGGGGGGGGGGGGGGGGGGGAACCAAAACAGCGGGGGGGGGGGGGGGCGGGGCCAGGTAAGGTGCCCAGACCCACCTGGTTGCTGCCTGCAGACCCGGACTCCTTCCTGAAGTCAGCAAGGCTGCAGCGGCTGCCATCCACGTCGTCGGAGATGGGCAGCCAGGACGGGTCCCCACTTCGGGAGACGCGCAAGGACCCTTTCTCCGCGGCAGCGGCCGAGTGCTCCTGCCGCCAGGACGGACTCACAGTCATTGTCACAGCCTGCCTCACTTTTGCCACGGGTGTCACTGTGGCGCTGGTCATGCAGATTTACTTCGGAGACCCTCAGGTAAGGGGGTTGGGGCTGGTGGACAGGAGAAGGAAACTGGAGAAGAGGGAGGGGGAAAGCTCTTGAGACCGTGGGAATTGAATTGCTTGGATTGCAGACTGGCTGAGTGGGGGAGGGAGCCAGCAAACGTTAAGGAGAGAGGGCAATGGGACGGGAGAGGAAGGTCCCAAAGGGAGGAGCTCAGGGTATGAATGGGACAGAGCAAGGAAGTGATCTGATCATGGAAGAGGCACTGGAGGCGACCTAGGAAGAGTTGTAAGGGACAAGAAGGCGGGACTCCCACCCCCGACACCAGTGGAGGTTCTGGGGTTGGTGGAGGTGCCTTAAGGAGGCAGAGGTATCCTACTGCCCCCACCTGGTCCACTTTCCCTTCCCAGATCTTTCATCAGGGTGCCGTGGTGACTGATGCCGCCCATTGCACGTCACTGGGCATCGAGGTGCTCAGTAAACAGGGATCTTCTGTGGATGCCGCTGTGGCAGCAGCCTTGTGTTTGGGGATCGTGGCTCCGCACAGTTCTGGCCTAGGCGGGTAAGGTGCTCCCAGCTGTGGAGGTTGGGGTCCCCCAGGCCTACTTCTGTGTTCCTGGTCTGTAGGCCTCATGTGGGGGTCTTCGAGTTTGACCAGAGGGGCAGCTGGGCCCTAACTCCTTGCATTTTGTCTTTCTACACCCAATTTTAACCCCTTCTCCTTACATGGAGTCAGAGGAGGTGTTTTCACAAGCTTGTTGTTTGTTTGTTTTTTCCTTAACTCGGTGAAGGCTTTTGTAAACCATAAAGTAAGGTGCACAGGTGGGGGTATACTGTCACTAATTAAGGCAGGAATACTTTAACTTTTAGGGTTTACAAATCCTTAAAACAAATCCTGTGAGCATGATGAAAGCTATGGACCCTCCATCCTCCAAAAATACATCACAGGCTGAGAACTCTTAAAACAGATTATAAACCGGCCACACATAGACCATACCTACCATACAGATTAGTTTGGTTTCCACACTTATAATTTTATATTAAAAATTTGTTTACTATTGTTAAAAAGTTGAGAATTTTCATAAAAATCCAGATTTTTAATATCTCTGGAACCATCTGAAGACCTGGTAACACTGGGCCCCCATTCCCACATGGCTGCAATTATCTGGAGCGGAATAGCATGACTTGTGCTGTCCAATTGGCCATAGTTCCTACCACTCCCTATTGTTTATCTGTCCTGCCTTCCCTATTATGTTACTTGGCCACAGGCCAACCATCTCAGATGCAGCTCCCATCTTAGATGGAAACAAGCCACAGAAAAGGGACAAGCTGACAAAGTCCGTATCTTGGCTCCTGCAAGACCAGCCCTGCAGGACCTACCAAAGAAGGTCCCCTTTTGGTTGTATACAGTCCATCCTTACATAATTCAGTCCTGGGAGGGGGAGCTGGGGCATATGGTGGAGGCAGGTGCAGGAAGCTGGCCAGGGTCCAGCTGTGGTCTAGGGTGGGGACAGGAGGTAGAACATCTTGCTCTTCCAGTCTCTGGGTTTTCCCTAATCAGGGATTAAAGTCTCCAGTAACAGGCCAGAAGAGGTCCATGGTCTCTGGGCCTCCAACCCCCTTGATTTCATTCCCTACCCTCATATAGTGGCTAAGTCTCCAAATCCCTGCTAGAAGGGGCTCAGACATGTGACTCCTGTGACAAACAGCCTACAGCCATCACCACTGGGGATGAAAGAGAGGCAGGTTAATTGTTTAGAGAGGTAGTACCTTATCAACCTCTCCTTCTGTGTCTCTCCCAGTGGGGGCGTGATGCTGGTCCACGACATCAGAAGAAATGAGAGCCACCTAATTGATTTCCGGGAGTCTGCACCAGGGGCCCTCAGGGAAGAGGCCCTGCAGAGATCCTGGGAAACCAAGGTGGGGACCCTGGTGAGAAGAGAGAGTCCAGGGGTGGTCTCCCTTCACTGCCCTTCTGCTAACCCAAACATTACTTTGCTGAGTAATTATTATGGAAGTGAGGAAAAGAGTGAAGCAAGACACTCTTAAAGCTATGAAGGAGATAGGCAGTCCCCCAGATAAAATAATGAACCAAAAGATCTGTATGGTTGATAACGGGCAGTACAGTAGCACCTTACTTCCCTGGCAAACTGGCCTATCATGATGCCTGAGCAGCCTGAGAGATTGCAAAGTTCCTGCACTATAACTCACACATTTCATTCAAAGCCTGTTGACCATAACTTTCCCAGCACACAGCATATTGGAAGATTAAGGAGGAACTGCAAAAGGCAAACCCACTATCCAGAAGAAATAGAATAACTTGGAAAAATAAATATTTGCTGCAGTGGCAAAAGCCAAACACATGCCTGAGTTATCACAGCTGAGTAATGGTGATGTGATCATGGAAAGGTTAAATGAAAGTCCCTTGTCTATTATTTTAAAAGGTAGGAGTAGATAAAATCCAATGTAGACAAGTTTCCATCTAAATTGGTCACATCTTGGCTCTTAAAAGGGTTTGCTTAATTTATAAATCGCTCAACTATGATAGATAAAGGAAGCCTTTCTGTATTTGCTGATAGTAAGTCAGGGAAATGGGAGGGATGCCTGCTTGGGGAGAGCTTGTCCCTCCTCTGGGATACTTGGCCTGTGTCTTTCCCCTGTGCCAGCCCCCATCCCTGGCTTGGGGCTCTGCGGAGTTCAGCCCAGCCCCCCCCTTCCAGTGACCTGGTCTCCTCTCTCCCTCGCCTGCCCGCCTTGCCCAGCCTGGGCTCTTGGTGGGGGTCCCCGGAATGGTGAAGGGGCTACATGAAGCTCACCAGCTCTATGGCAGGTAAAGACCCTCCCCCTGGGGACCAGGGGCCTCTGCCTGCATCTCTCCTTGGGTGGCCTTTTCCTACCATCCTGGATTCTTTCCTTCCCAACTCCCCCTCCTAATATCCCCTTCCCTTGCCAGGACTCTCCTTCCCAGGAACCCCCTTTCCCCCAGGACCCCTCCTCCTCCCCCCAGGATCTCCTCCACCCCTGCTCTCCGGCCCCCCCAGGCTGCCATGGTCCCAAGTCCTGGCCTTCGCAGCAGCTGTGGCCCAAGATGGCTTCAACGTGACCCATGATCTAGGTCAGTGGGGCCTGGGGGTGGGGGAAAGGCATGAGGTTGATGGGAGGTGGAAGGGGAACCTCTAAGATTTGGGGCCCAAGCCAGAAAGCACCTCTCTTTCATTTGCTCCTTTAGCTCCCTCCCCACCCATCCTACCTCACAGGGATGCAGCCTCAAATGAGGGGATATGAGAAGGGCCCATATACACCCCCCATCTCCCCCATAACATGCTCCTGGGGGTGCTGGAGCTCTTAGGGCCAGCCACTCAGCCACCTCACCTGTGGCGTATCTCAGCCCCCTGCCCAGCTTCCCGTCCTTGCTTACAGCCCGTGCCCTGGCCGAACAGCCTCCGCCCAATGCATCTGAGCGTTTCCGTGAGACATTCCTGCCATTGGGCCACCCGCCACTACCGGGCTCACTGCTGCGTCGGCCTGACCTGGCCGCAGTGCTGGATGTGCTGGGCACCTCTGGCCCCGCCGCCTTCTATGCAGGAGGCAATCTCACACTGGAGATGGTGGCCGAGGTGAGCACTTGGGGAGCCCCCCTGCCCTGAAGGACCCCACTGCAGGGACATCTTCTTCCCTTTCCTTCCCTCTCTGTCTGTCTTTCTACATAAATGTACTGATGATTCCATTTACTTAAGATTCTCTAATGGACAAAACTAACTTCTGGTGGCAGGAATCAGATCAGTGGTTGTTTGGGGTGGGAGCAGTTGACAGGATGCAGCACAAAGGACCCCAGGGATGATAGAGCTGTTCTATCTTGACTGAGAGAGGTGTCCTTGGGTCCCCCAGGGCTGGTGCCAACCTGTGCAGAGCCTTGACCTGTCCCTCCCAGTCCTGGCAGAGACCCAGGATCAGCCTCAGTTTTCCCAAGCCCACAATCCCACCCTGCTCTTGGGTTCACTAGGGACTGAAGGAAACCTTCCTTCACTGGTCACTATCGGGACTGGAGATATTAACACAAGGGCTTACCAAACAACCCCAAAGACTCTTAATCTGAGGTAGTAATGGGTTCTGAAAACTGTTGTCAGTAATTCAAAACTCCAAATGGAAAATTATTTTCAAGGTGAGGATACACGAACCAACTCTGTGATTCTCTCATCTGTACCATTGGGGTGATTATATGTTTCTCTGCCATAAGGTTGTGGGAATTGAGTTGGTCCATCATTCATTCTACATTCACAGAGTGCTGTTCTATGTCAGAACCTATGCTGAGTCCTAGAGGTATGGCTATGTGATAAATGCCCATCTCAAATGGACTTAACTGAGAAGTCCAGCAGAGTACTGGCTGTAAGTCTGCTGGGTCCAGAGCTCCATCCACATTGCCAGGCTGTAGTCTGTCTCTCTCTCTTTCTTCCATGACTCTACTTTCTTCTGTTTGAATTCACTCTCTATCAGATCCTCTCCACACCTGCTCCCCACCAGCCATCCTTCCAGCAAACCATCCCAGAGAAAGAACATTTCTCATTCCAATAGTTACAGCAAAAGCCTCCAGGTTATGTCTCATCAGCCTGTTATAGGTCTCGTGACTATTCCCAAACTTCCCAATAGGTCTCATGACTATTCCCAAATCACTGGCATGGAAAAGGAATGTTCTGATTAGCCACACCTGGATCTTCTGGAGAAGGGGGAGAAGGAGACTTAAACAAAGACTATCTAAGCTTTAAAGGAAAAAAACAAACAAAAACAACCCA